ACAAGAGTTTGAGCAGCTATTTTGATGTACAAGGGCTTGTCTTCGAGCTAGTCTTGCAGCTCTAGACTGCTTCTGAGGTGAAGTTATTGATCTATCAAAGCTCCTTGTTGGTAGGTTCCGGGATGGAATACTACCTTTTTTTAAAAATCTTTTGTGAGTAGCTACACCTGAAAATAAAACCACTATTAAGCCCACAGAAGTCTAACAAACAAATATGTAACTCATATGTTAAGTCTTGTATTAAAATAGCATGCAGGATTGAATATACATTGGCTGATTATTTAAATATTTACTTACTTGGTAGAAAATAATCATTTTCTGTAAAATGTAGACTGCATACATTCATATATTTTGATATTTTCTTTCCAATGCGAAGTACACGACCCCATTTCTTCTTTTCCATTTCATTTCGGGGAAAATAATGCAAGGAAATATCCTTCGTTGCTCTGGCAGAACACTGCGGAACTGAGCACATTCTGTTACTAGGCTTTTTGTTCTCCATAATTAATATAATAATTACAAACAATGTAAACAAATCGTTCATTAATTGAAAAAACTCCACAAGCATTCAACTGACGTTGAGAATTGAGAAATAGGTTAACTAGCAATGATTTGTTTACATTTTTATCCCAATTCCTCTAGTTCCAAATAAACGGCAGCACTGTCGCTTGAGTTCGCGAATACATACATATTCTTCTTCTTCGCGTGCCATATCAGATTTATCCGACGTTGGCGATCACCATTGCGAAGGCTTCTCGATCTTCTGCAATATGGAATAATTGTCCTGAATTTGGTATCTGAGACCATTCACGAATGTTTTTTAACCAAGAAACTTGTTTTCTTCCTACACCTCTACGGCCCTCTATTTTGCCTTTAAGGATCAGTTGTAAAATTTTATATCGACTTCCCCTTACTATATGTCCCAGATAAGACATTTTTCGATGTTTAACAGTCTTTAGCAGTTCTCTATCCTTGTTGACGCTCTTTAGTAATTCTTCATTAGTTTTTCTGGCTGTCCAAGGTATTTTCAGCATTCGTCTATGAACCCACATTTCCAATGCTTCAATTTTGTTCATGATCGATACGTTTAGCGTCCACACTTCTGCACTATACAAAAGTACGGACCAAACATAGTACTTAACCATTCTTTGCCTTAGTTCTAAACTGAGATGGTTATTGCAAAGAAATGACTTCACATAATCACATTACGTAGTTCCCCGTTGATTTTTATTCCATATGGTTGTCTCTCAAGTACCCTTTTAAATAACTGGTCCGAGTAAACATTGAACAATGTTGTCGACAAAATGTAACCTTGTCTGACTCCTCGTTGTATGGGGATTTCATCGTTGTAGTTATCTCCAATTTTTACGATAGCAGTTTGATTCCAGGACAAATTTTTAATGACACGAATATCCTTGTCATCTATTCCGATATTTTTTAGTATTTGCATTAATTTTACATGCTGTACTTTATCGAATGCCTTTTCGAAGTCCACGAAACATGCAAATACATCTTTTCTTTGGTCACGGCATTTTTGTAATAGGATGTTAAGCGCAAAAAGTGCCTCTCTGGTTCCCATAGCATTTCTAAAACCAAATTGGTTATCTTCAAGATCTTCGTCGCATTTGCGTCTAATTCTGTTGTGAAGTATTTTGAGGAAAATTTTAAGAGTGTGGCTCATTAGGTTAATTACATATATGTACATATTTTAATAGCTTAAAAAATCACTTTTTATCGGTTTTTTAACGTACTAAAGTACGTTAATTTGTTTGTAAAAAAAACAAATCGATATTTTTTACTTAAGACCTTTTTACTTATCAGTACAGAATTGATATATGTATTTATTAAATGTTAACAGAAAGAAATACAATTCGTACAAAACAGATCTACTTAAAAAACATTAGTTTCAATAATTATTTTTCGTCTTCACTTTCAAAACGTCTTCCTCATCACTTTTCTTAGTGTACTAAGTAGTGTAACTGTCATTCTCCCTCCAAAATTTCTGTCCTACGAACATCAAAGGTACCGACAAAGCTTTCGCTTTTTGTGGGGTGGTGTATTCTGTGCTCTTATACAAAATGTTTTGTACGATTTACTGCTAAAGTACATCCCAGAGGTACTTTTCAGTGCGTCATTAATTATGACGTCATATGATGAATTAGGTGTGTCGAGCATTATTTCATATAATTATTGAAGAATCTGACAGATTCCAGGATCGTACTTAGCCACAGGGAGTAATCCCGTATATTAATAAAAATAAAAAGTAAACAATATTGTTTATTAAATTTATAAATATGGAAACATTCGAAATTGACGACAAAATGATTCATTTATTGAATTTTTGTATCTTCTTCTCAAGGGGCTGTCTGCGCGTCGAAAGTTGTCAATCATCACAGCGATTTTTAATTTTGAGACAGCGGCTCTAAATGAGCCGTTATTACATGGGTTACGTCTCCTTCCTATGGATCTTTTTCTCTGGATTTTTCCTTGCATAATGATCTGGAGTATTAGATATTTATCTCCTGTCATCACATGACCCATATATCCCACTTTTCAGATCTTAATTGTTAGTACTTCTCTTTCCTTATGCATTCGTCACATTACCTCAACGTTGGTTATTCCATCTATACATGAGATCTCTAGTACTCTTCGGTACATCCACATCTCGAATGCCTTCAGTCTCCTCACGTGAATTTTCTTCAGTGTCCACGCTTTCATCCCGTATTATAATACGGATAGCACGAAGCACCTCAACAGTCGTATTTTAACTTAAGGTTTAAGTTTCTACAGCAGATAAGCCTTTGTTTTCTTGTAAATGCGCTTCTGGCCTGTTTGATTCTGATTCGTATTTCTTGAGAGCTGTCATTGTTTTCATTAATAGTTGTATCTATGTATTTGAATTCTCTTACTATTTCAATAGGCTGATTTTGTACATATATCTCACGAATGTCCTGAGTTGTCTTTGTTATTATCATATATTTCTTGCTCTGTTGAGTGACGGTCCATATTCTTCTTCGCTTACTGCGGTCACCTAATTAAGAAGTATCTGTAGGTCTTCATGTGATTCGGCTAAAAGAACTGTATCATCAGCGTATCTCAGGTTATTTATGATCATGTCATTAATTCTAATGTCTACGTTTCGTTAATCCATTGCCTTACTTAATATGTCTTCCGAGTATACATATTAAATAATACTGGTATATGTATACACCCTTGTCGAACAACTCTTTGTACTTCCATTTCTTCTGATGTTATTTCTTCTATTCTCACTACTGCTTTTTGATCATAGTATAAGTAACACAAAAAGACTGTTTTCAAAAATTTATTAGCTAACTTCTAAATTAAGTACATAGATAAAATATAATTCTAATCATAAAAACTATTTATTCACTAATGTGTAATAATAATAGTTTATTGACAACACTGAAAAGTAGAATTTGAATATCAGTGTAATAGAAAATTATAGAAAAATACTTTAACTTACCTTTACTAAACATTCCGTATATACGAGTCCTAATGGTATGTTGGTATTTATTTAAAATCAAGTTGGGTTCACAACTAGTGGCTACTGATTCGCTTACTTTATTGGTATAATCAGAATCTTTTTGTATTTCTTTATTTGCTAATCGCCTTATGGTTGGCAAAGAAATTTCTAACGTCTCAGCAACACGCTGAAATAAACAGTAAATAAAAAAAATTTATTTTCAGGGTAATTTTCAACTTACTTCACGAACAGCAGAAATTGGTAATAATGTTTGTCCAGCTTCCTTTTCCAATTGAAAATATTTAAGTAATTTTAATATTGGAACTTGTTCTTTTTCCGTATATCTTGTCATCTTGTACAAATACAAATAAAACCACAATCACAATACTATGTAAAACAAAATACAAAATAAAATTATACAATACAAATCTCAAAGAATATAATTATATTATATAGCGTCTATATTCTTTGCAAATACTGACCTGAACGACAGCCGTCACTTGCTATTGCAACAATTCGAAAGAATGGCCAGCATAGACGAAGTTTTACGTCAACTGTCAGTAATAGGCGTATTTGATTGGCTAGAGAAAGCGCGCATCTAAATATTAACGAATCAAACGTATTTTAGGAAAGAACCGCTTATGTATGTAATGTGTAAGCTTATTCTAACGCTGCAATATAGTTCTGTTTAATCACCGAACTGCCGCTTTCTCCGTCACATCCAACTTAATGCATTAGAAAGAAATCGAAAAACTGTGACTCACTGAAAAGTACCTCTGAGATGTTCTATACAGTGGTAGTTCATTTAAATATAAAGTGAAGTTTAACAAGTCCACGTCTATTTACTTTTTTCGTTTTACTTAAACTGGAGAAAATATGATGAAATTATAAGGAAAATATTGGAAACGGTAAAATAACACTGCATCCAAATACTTACTGCATCAAACTTCTAGAGAATTTCTGCAATAGTGTTGAGACCAAACATGAATTACTTGCAAGTGTCTCCGGCTTTACTGAATAATTACTTGAATCATAATTGGCTCAGTGAGCGCGCAATTGTGGTGGAGAAAAATGTTGATGTTAACGAAATTAAGTTCCAGATTCAATAATTGTGAGCAGCTGCTCTGGTATCTTTTAAATCAATTGGTGGTATTGTTAATGAAGCGAAGTGTGGTGCGCCATAACATTTCATGGAATTTTGTAATTATCCAAGATAGACATTTGTACATTACAGAGAACTTAATCCGAAGTAGTGAGTTTTCTAAACTCGACTTCCTGTTTAGTGTAAGGTTATAAGGCAATGGTAGCAGTAACAAAATAACAGTCCGGATTATCGCCATAGATCTATGTCTGTTCCTAAAGGATTGCTTTAGCCAAAACATTTAGTAAACCGTATTTCTCACCCAATTTCTCGGTTTTTGTCCAAAGACCAAAAACCACTTGGATAACTGTAATTATTGAAATGTCCGATGCGTTGTCGAAATTGAATTTCACAACTTTTCTTGTTCTTTTTTAGATGAGTTTGGAAGTGGTGCCTGTTCACAGACATCCAGAATACCTAATGGATTGTTGCAAACTTTTAAACCAAGAATGGAAGAGATCAGATACAGCCCGCTTACACAGTTTACAACAATCTTGTGATACCTTACCTACCTCACTGGTTCTTCTTAAAGATAAACTTGCTATTGGACATCTTAAACTATCCATAATTCCGAGCATTCGAACTGCCTGCTTTGTAGAATCAGTAGTGATAGAGAAAAGTCTTCGAGGAAAAGGTTACGGCTCAATTCTAATGAAGGAAGCAGAAACGTTTTGTAGAAGTTTAGGATTGGATATGATATATTTATCGACAAAAGGCCAAGAACAGTTTTACCAGAAATTAGGCTACAATCAATGCGCTCCCATTTCGATATATGGAAGTTTTGTGCCTAAAATTTCTGAAGTGCCAAAAAATATAAAAAATTGCAATTTAAAATTAACATCGACGCTTACTAATGAAATTAATAACAGCTCTCCGCTACCCATCACTCCCCTTGCTCCTCCACCACCCCCATTACCATCAATAAACAGCATCACTAAAACAATTGCTACTTATATGAACAAAGAATTATAGCGTTAAATATGAGATATAAACGTATATTTTTGAGTGCTTGTGCTTTATGAAATCTTTGTTGTGTTTATTAAATTTATTTTACAATTGTATTTATTTTTATTTTTGCGAAAGAATTGATAGTTTTTTCGGTAAATTTTAGGGATGTGTAGTTCACCATCGAAATAGTTCTAATGAACGATTCTTTCAACTGAACTAATTGAACTAGTTCATTAATTTTCATAGAACTAGTTCACTGCGAACGATTTGCATTATAAATTATGTCTCGACTTCTCTAAAGAAGAAAATAATGACTGAATGAATTAGAACATATATTTATTATTTTGTGAATGGATGGACTAACTAGTTTAAAAAAAATGCCGATTAGCTTCAGATAACAGATTCATAATTCTTATGAATGTGACAATACCATAAGGTCTTATCTTAATGTAATAATGGTTTGGATCTTATGCCCATGTATTGGCTTGGATGTTGCCATGCTGTGTTGTTTCTTGTATTGTAATTTTGAAATAAAAATTTTAGTTGTGGTTAAAATGATTGAGGCATTTACATAAAATATAATTTTATGTAAAAGTGAAAATGAAAATGTGTTATTTAATGTTCCTAGAAAATTCACTGATTTTTTTTGTAAAGGTTCTTTTAGAAATAACCTAATTATAAATACCTATGAGTTTAAATGTACGTAAATATAAAAATAAATCATACTTGAACCATATTTATATTTAAAATGGTTAATAAAAAACAAATCTTAATAATTTTTTGCAAATAAAAACTAACTAATCATATAATAATTTAAACCATTTAAATGTAAACATACGATCGAAAGAAATAGTTCCGAACTACTTGCACGGTAGTGAACTAGTGAAAGACTGACTTGAAAACCGAAGTAAACGGGCGGCCAGCGCCGAGCTTGTGTGATGATTGAGACGAGACATCTGACAACCAGTTCTGTTAGAGTTGGATTTCGATGTCGTAGTTCTTTCGCGAACTAATTCACTGAACTCGTTCATTTTTGTGAAAAAGTTCTGTTGAACTAGTTGGTCTAAAAGAACTAATAAGCACACCTCTAGTAAATTTACACGGGTTTCGGATTAAGTATATAAGCAACGATGAAACTGACCATCTGTACGTTTTACTGTATGTAGGTAGTTATCTTTCAGTGGGTAACGACCGTAGAAGACTAGACGTTAGTCTAAAATAAATATTTTAATTTAATCACTTGCTGCAAATACCAATTAATCCCTTAGTGGCAGGGCCGAGCCTAGAAGTTTTGCCGCCCGGGTGCAAGAACCAAATTTGCCGCCTCATCAGCAGTTTTGGAAAACGTGTATAAGAAAACATCGCAAATTGAGGAAAATTAATAAAAACACAATTTTGAACATTTAAATCACAAAAATATATTTATTAAGTCATCGAATATATACATATCTATATATAAATATGAGCTTATACAACATATCTACATAAATATAATTTGGTGTAACCAAAATACAAAAATCTACAGTTATTTTACAAAAAATAAATACAACACTAGGTAGGTATACACGTCTAAATACTAATATCGACTTTTCTTGCCTTACAAATTCCCTAATTAGGTCAGTCACATCTAAATTAAAACAAACATGTTTCTCGATACTTATTGTAGCTAAATTTGCAAGCCTGGAATTGCTCATGGTAGATTTTAAGTAGCTTTTTATTAATTTAAGTTTTGAAAATGATCGCTCCCCATGAGCTACATTGACTGTTATAGTTAAAAATATTCTAAGCGCAACAAATAAATTGGGAAATATTCCTTTTAAGTCGTTAGCAACGAGATGGGCTAACACTTCTTTGGCCGACATAATATTTTTATTAGTATGGGACATATACAATATATCAATCGCATTGTAAAGATCTATTGCATTTATATCTACTTAAATTTTTTGTTTGCGGGTCAGTTAGTTTAGTTTCTAAGTGTGTATAATATTTCATTATTTCCTCTTTAGAAAAGACACTTAAGTTATTTAAAAAACCAAAAGATTCAACATGTGTTTCTAAATCTTGAAATCTGTCATCTAATTTTGAGATGGTAATATCAAGAATATAACAATATAAATTTAATGAAGAAAGGCAGCAAATATTTGATTTCACGCAAACAAATCCTATGTATCTCTTGATACGTATTTCGACCTAATAGGTCTCGTCAGAAGATCTATTCATAGGAGTCCTCAACGTGAAAAATCAATATTTTCTGCCTTTTAAGAAGCAACAATAACGTGGCATCAATACGGACGCACTAGCGACATCTAATTACAACAATCGTAAAATATAAAATATAAATTTACTTTAAAATGTAATTCTGGACCTTTTGGTACCTTTTCAGATAATTTGTCAGTAGGTGAGAAAGTTGTACCACCGGTTGTCTTAAAGTGGGTCCAGAGTTGAACATTTTAGCCCGAACGAACTGAGCGCGCTTATACAAGCAGAACGAACAGTACAAACAAAAAATCCTGCGGGATGTGAGAATTGCGTTCTCGTTAAAAGTTCCAGTTGCTTGCAGTGTTTGGAGTATCTTTTTCTCAAAAATTCGAAGTTTACTAAATAAAAAAAATGAACACTGACTTAGCAGCAGCTTTTAGCGTCTTTTTTTATTATTTGCAAATAGAACAATACGAACGAAAATACGACAGTTACAATATGCACAAAAAAAATAAAATCAATGACAAACAAGAGGAAATTCAATAAGTTACCCAAGAGCATAAAAGATAGCGATGGAAATCTTATCTCGGAGCCATCAACGATCTTAGAAACATGGAAATCATACGATATCATCAGTCATTGAAGACAAAGCCATGATCATATCATGACTTTGTCTTCTACACGGCTTAACTTTTTTGTTCACCTAATCACCCTGATTTAACCTATTCCTTTTATTATATAAATATAAATTATTTATAAATTTCGATAACATGTAATAACATTGACGCTTATTTTTAAAAGCGAAAGAACACTCATACAAAACCTGTTAGGATTTTGTTTAATTTAGTTTTAAACATATATAATTTAATTAAGATTTAAACAGTATTTTGTTATCTACTGAACAATGACGGTGTTACCATAAAATAGTACGACACAACCTAATATTTATCATACTATATTAATTATCTATGATATTTATCTTCTTAAACATGTTTAATGCATTGATAAAATACGTCTCATTGAGATAATATTTAAATTAATTTTATATTTATAAATAGTAGGTAATCTAATTTTATTTCCACTTCTCTGGTACACTTCGGATGTATTTGAGCCCATTTTTTTTTCTATTGCAGCATTATTTAAAATTAAAAACAAAAATCTCTTTGCTACTATACTTAGTACCTAGTACATACTTAGGAGAGTTAATAAGTAGCAAAGATGGAAATTACCAAAGAGAAATATAATCCCCATCCACGGGAGAAAGCGAATATTTTATCAGTACTATTTTTTGGGTAAGTTTTAATTTTTTTGGCGTTCAAATGATAAAACTGTGTATGAATCCGTAATACGTGGGTTATAGAGTATTGTTCAAAACTACCATATTCGGTCAGAAACTGCGTCAGGAAGTAGTTTAGTTTACTGAACTTACATTCCCACCACGGTCTCAGATCGGAAATCAGCTCCTTCGTCCACCTGGCCTTTCCGCTATCATTCGTCTATTCTCTCTGTCATACTACTATCGTTCTTTCTCCCTCATTCTGATCTATTTTTACATCTATCTTCCTCGCATACACCCTAGCTCGATCTTTGCACAACAAAACGATCGGTATCACCGCTCCAATGACATATAGAGCCTCATTTGAAACTGTCTTATATGCGCTAGACACCCTGAGGAGCATTCGCCTTTGCGAAGTTTCCATCAGGTTAGCGTATTTCGCAGTGTTTAGTACGCTACACCACACGGGGGCAGAGAAGTCTTGAAGGTCTTTCAAAATAAGATTCCCTCTTTCGACCTTACGATCATTTATAGTTATGTTTTGCCTTATTTTCTGTCATTTTTGTTTCGAAGCGACCATGTATTTTGTTAATTTTATTTATTTTTAGACCGATATTTCATGCAGCTTCAAAGCTTGAGAAATATACTAACTTCTAATGTTAATTGTGCTACTTTATCTATGTCATCGGTAAAGGCGAGAAAGATCTTTGATCCTCGAGCAGCTGTGACTGGTCTGGTTTTCGCATAAATTTTTCGCATGACATATTCTAATGCCAGTTAAAGCAACAATGGGAATATTATATCCTTCTGTCTTAGTCCAAAATTTACGTAGAAAGTATTTGGTGTTTTCCGTTCTATTCTAACTTGTACAAAGTACTTACTTAGACACATTCTCGTTAACGCAGCTATTTTCTTAAATATCCCCAGCTCAGCCATTGGATTCCATAGTTTTAGATGATTAATTAAATCGTAAGTATGTTTGAAATCTATAATGATCTAATGTACGTCTTCGAAGGTGATGTACGAAGGTTTTGGTCTCTTCAACAAGTCTTCATGTCTACAGTCGCTTAGACGCATTTAACAATCAACCGACTTGCATAGCTCTTAAATTCTCCTTCTCGTCCTATAGTCACTGTTTTCTTGCCCTTCAATTCTTTTTTACAAAATTTTCTCTACCGGTCCGCAGACTCTTCGAAGTAATTTCCTTGAAGTGCATTTGACATAATTCTGAGAGGGAATTCATTTGATTTTCAAGGTAAAGCAATGTGACTTTAGTAACTAGGTACATGTTACCAATAAACGACCTGTTTCTCGTCATAATTTTTTCTGAAATTTGGCTTAGTTTATTGTAAGAGTCAATATGCGTTCCTGGATACATTAAACCTTTTAAAATATGTAATAGACATACATGAACAAATTTTTACTTGTATAGAAATACAAACATAGTGTTAGTGACCAAAATAATTTTAAACTTCTTTGTTTTCCTTAGGTACACATATGATTTGTTTAAAAAAGGCTTTTCAAAGACGTTGGAAGTCGAGGACTTATATAATCCGCTGAAAATTGATAGAAGCAAAGTTTTGGGAGACAAGTTACAAAGGTTAGTACACAATTTTTCTAATTTACAAGTGACGTGTAAGTAGAAATATATATGTTCCTGATCTGATGTTTAAGTTGATCACAATTTGTGATCTGCTTTAATTATACTAAGATTGAAAATTATTCTGGAATAAAATACAAGTTAAGAATCGATACAGGACAGATGTATCTATTGAGAGATGCTGAAAGTCAGATTACCAGGACAAGTGGAAGTGGCGTCGTTTCGTTCTTTATTGATAACTCAACATTACAATCGTACCCTGAGTCAGTTGACTACAGTCTACAGCGTAAACAAAATACGATATCTAAACTCTACTACTAACAACAATATTAACAATAATAATATAGTAAATCCAAAAGTTGCTTTTAAGTACAAAATCTATGAAACATAATTTCTGCTGACTCTACAGGGTCGCGCAAGATGGTTTTTGACTGTTATCGCACGTATTTTTGATTTGAAATTGAATTAAATTACGTAATGATTTTGGTTATTACGTTATTTTCAAGCTTCTATTTTATTAATTAAAAGTAACCTGAATATTCCAGAAAACCCGTGTTGGAACTGCATCAGGTAAAAAACTGACGGCTAAACCTTAGGCGACAGATCTAATTCTTTGATCTAATTGATTAATTTCAGTAAAAAATGAATATAATTGAACACTGCATTAAAAAATTACGGACATTTTTAGAGACAGAACTTAAAAAAGAAAGCACACTCGAATAATTGCTATATATTGGAATATGGTTTCTTCTGTTCAAACTGATGAAAATCCAGAGAATAATATAGGAAAAATACGTATTTTAAATGGAGTGGGCCAGAGTAGTTTACTTTCGCTGTCGTTGTTCGGTGTATAATATTTAGAATGTATATGAGAGTACAAATAGAGGCTTTCAGAAAACATAAACTACTACCCCATTGCAAGCGCTGCCAGGAATACGGGCACACATAGAACTACTGCAAAAGGCAACCAACATGTGTCAAATGCATTGGAAAACATCTAATCCAAGAATGTAAAAACCCAAAATTATAGCTCCAAAATGTGTTCACTGAGGCAATGATCATCCTGCTAATTATAAAAGATGTAGAGCACTGTAAAAGCTCTACAAACACTGAGAAATAAAAATACAAATAATAAGACTCCTGAGAGCCGACTGAATATAGGATATATGGAAAATAGACATCGAAGTTTAAGAAGTGCTGGAGTATCTTACGCGCAAGTAACAAATCCAGAAGTAGAAAATACTACAGATACAGTAACTGAAATTTAACAAGAAGAATTTAACAAAAAAATACTTGAAAGGCTCGACAGACTTAAAAAGATCAGAAGCCGATCTTAATGAGACTATTATGCCCTTGGACCTGAATACTCCAATGGGATACAAATGGAAGGAGCATGTTAAAAAGAAAACTGAACACTTGAAGATAAAATACAAAAATATGCATTGGCTGATTGGTAGGCACTATCAACTTTACAACCAGAACAAAGTACTGGTATGTATGTTGGCATGTTCGGAATGTTGATTTACGTAGAGACCTTGAAGTCGAATTTATTCCAAATGAAATTAAGAAAGTCGCCAGGAGATATGAAGAGAGGCTCCATGAGTATCCCAACCATAAAGCACTTCAGCTTTCAGCTTTTTGTCAATCAACCCCAAATGCGAAGGCTCAAAAGAACTAAACTGTTCGAGCTTGTGTAATGTGTGAAGTGTTTTATTAATGAGCAACATGGAATATCTACAAACTGGGTGGTAGTAGCAAGAATCTATATAATAAGTCTAATACTACTTATTGTATGAGTAGAATCACAATTGGTAATGCTACTACCATGAAAGTAACGATTTATAAATATCTTGGTTGTTATTTAACTGCACACTGAAACAGCACTCAAGTAATCGGTCGCAGATTTGAGCAGAAACAAACTTTTTTTTAAAATTGAATCAAGTGTTAATAAGTCATTATATAAAATTTCCAGTCGCGTGTTATTTGTTCAGTAATCTCTTGTACTAGACGATGATGCTATGGCATATAGATCATACAAACATTGATCGTAATTGACATGTGCAAAATTGTTTCTTCTTATCATCTTTGATAAAGTTTCCTGCACTTGCAGACGAAATTTTAGGAAGAAATAATTCGAGACCACGGTCGATAAACGTCAAATACAATGTACCATTACAGACACAGGTTGCGAAAATCTTTATTCTTTGATTTGATCGATTGTTTTATAACATTTTTAGGAACTGGGATAGACAACTAGAAAAAGCCAAAAGAACAAACTCAGAACCAAGCTTAATTAAAGCCATTGTTCAGACATTTTGGGTGGACTACTTAATACTAGCAATCTACGGCTTAATAACAGATGTAGTGCTTAGATTCGTACAACCTTTGATGCTCGGAAACCTATTGGATTATTTCAAACCTGAGTCAGAGGTTACGAAAAATGAGGCACTTATATATGCAGGTCTCATAGTCGGCATAAATGTCTTGAACTTTTTAGTCTTAAATCAATATAATCTAGGATCTTACCACGGTGGCATGAGGATAAGGGCAGCTTGTTGTGCTGTTATATACAGAAAGGTAATTTTAGAAACTATTACACCGTTTACCTTAGATAGTATGTGTAGTATCTTCAAGTTACCGATTTATCAAATACAAAATTCTAAATTTATGTTTAAGGCACTGAAGTTGAGCAAGACATCCTTAGGAGAAACGGCTTCTGGAAAACTGGTCAACCTTTTATCCAACGATGTCAGTAGATTTGACCTTGTCAGTTTACTTATTCATCAACTGTGGCTTGGACCACTATTGTCAATTATAGTAATGGGTTTATTGTACCAAAAAACTGGATATGCGGGATTGGTGGGGATTTTTTCAATGTTTGTGATAGTTCCTATTCAAAGTAGGTTATATTTATAATGACTTCTACTTAAATTAAGTTAATTTATTTTTTATATAGGGGAACCTGGCCTAAAATGACATACTACTTTTTTGTCGTCCAATAACTTTTTTATTTAAAAAAAAAAATTTAAAAAAACATAAATGTTGTTCATTGTTTGGAAGTAGAACAGATCATGGAACATAAAACTCTAACAACACAATATTTTTTAATTAAAAAAAGGAAACAAAATAAACGTTGCTATGTCATTTTATCCAAGTATATTCGGCTAAAACGACACACTCACATGGATAAAATGTCATATAAACTAAATTAGCAAAGTTCACAAATAAATTTTTTGCACGATTTTGAGATACCAGCACAATCACAGTGTGCCCATTTTGAGCATTTTTGGCACCTAATCCAGAATTCTTTGGACCTTGAATGGGAGTACAAACTGTTACAATATAAACATGGAGGATTATTTTCGTCTTCGTCATCATCTGACACAATGGTCTTTGTTTCCTCCTAGCGATCTTGTGTCATTAAAGTCAGATTCTTAATTGCTCGCTTTGCAGCTTGACGTTTTTCTGTAGCTCGCTTCTCGAGTGCTTTGGCTTTTTGTTCTTTCATATTTGGGGTAGCCGTTAGAACTTTTGTTCTTTCTGATTTTCTTTTTTTGGAGCGTGACTGGACACCTGAACACGATGGAAGAGGTGAAATGTCAAGTGGACGAATACCAGGATTAATTGAAGAACAACTTTCAAGTGAGTTTGGTCTAGGTGTAGAAACCGGTTTGTTTCCTGGATCTGGAAAATCTTGATGTCGCAAAACATTATCATTCTCTTCTTTTGACTCTGTTAGGGGTTGAATTGCAATTTCTTTTTGAATATCTGTTATTTTGGAAGGATTAAATAAATAATCAGAGAATATGTCGGGATTAAGGGGCCAAATTCCAGTCTATAAAAATCCACTAACGGCATTTTGGTGTGTAGCTGCTTTTCCATACGCTGTAGCAAATAATCCTCCAACTTAGTATTGCGAAACTGTTCTGCCTGGATGACACTTCATCCACTTGGTAACTTCTTGATCATAGTAGCTCTTTAATGGACCAAAGAAACATACATCTAACGGCTGTAGACGATGGGTACAGTGCGGCGGAAAACACAATATCACTATTCCATGTTCTTTGGCAAAAGTTAAAACATTAATGTTTTTATGGCTCGCATGCCCATCAAGCAACAGCATAACCTTGTCTTCTATAGAAGGATTAGAACATTCTTTAAAATGTTTCATCCATGTTAGGAACACTTCGCCTGTCATCCAACCTGTTTCCTGTGCTATTCCTAAAGTTCCTAAAGGCGCTTCATCTATTAATTCTTTTTTCCAATTTTTCCTGGGGAATATAAGTGTTGGTGGAACATAATTCCCCACTGAGCTAATGCAAGCAACCATCGTTATGTGCTGCCCTCTTTCCGCACTTGTAATTAGGCCCACTTGCTTCCGACCCTTGGTTGCAAATATTTTGCCGGGTTTTTGAACCGTGGATAGGCCTGATTCATCCACATTCCATATGCGTGTAGGATTAATTTTGTTATTTGTAATAGTATCCTCTAAAAGTTTAAAAAAATTGGCAATTTGAGGCCTGTTGAATGATTGCGCTCTTGCTGCAGACGTGGACTCGGGTTTTCTAAGGGATATATCGGGGTGTGTAGACCGAAACCCTCGTAACCAATCCCAACCAGCCATCTTAGTGGTTGTGTTAAATCGGTGTACTATTCCATTTCGATCTGCTAATTGGTAGGCTAAAGAACGAACGTCATCACAAGATAATCCAAACAAACTTGATTCTAGGAGTTTTATGTGTGTTATGAGGTCTCTTTCTAATTCTACAGAGAACGTAGTTTCGTACCGGCCAAGACCTTTATTGGTACCTGATACCCGTTTATTCTTGTCTGATGCTCGTCTTCTTAAAGTAGCTTGGGGCACATTAAAAGTTATCGATGCTTTTAACGAGCCCATGTCTCCACACTGGACTGCCTGGATGGCTCTTTGCATTTGTACTGGATCCCAAGACTGGCGTGTACTTTTCCTTTCGTAGTGTCCCATCATACTAAAAAAGAAAAATACCATACATTAATATTCTACCTACCATATTATTATTAAAATTTATATGGGCAAAATGGCATACTATGTCATTTTACCCGAGTATTTAATATGTCGTTTTACCCCAGTGTGAACAAGAACACGTTTTTTACAATAAATTTTTTGTTTAAACAAACAAAGCTTCCAAACATGATGTTTCTGTTAATATGAATAACAATATATACCTGGAACTAACAGAGATATAAAATTTTAAAGTTTTAAACGTTTTATAGCGAAGTATACGTCGCCTACCAAAATATTTTGGTACTCAATAAAGCACAAACCACCTTTTAACAAGTAAACGACTGAACTGATCGCGACGCCCGTTGGAACATCAATTATGCACCACGTGATGCTCTTGTATAAAACTTCTTGGCGCATAGCCATGTTGTCAAGTTAGAGATACACCGGATGTGTCATTTTACCCTAGTATGTCATTTTGGGCCAGGTTCCCCTACACAATTTTGATCCTTATTTCATATAAATTCTTTATATATATATATATATATATATATATATATATAATATATATATATATATATATATTTGTCAATGCTAAAGACAACATAACTGAATTATTTCCTTCTTTTCTTGTATTTATGATATTAATGAGTACAGATAACGAATATATACATCCAAACAATGCTAACGCTTCACCAGGATCTATATTCTTTGGTACAGATTTGAACTTTTGTACTTTTATAATCTTTATATTCATTATTTGTATTGAACCTAGTTTTGACAAATAAGCAGAAAATTGTAATTACTACACATTTGATCAAACCTTAATACTGTTTTAGCCTACACCGGAAAATTATCTGCAAAATACAGAAAACAGACAGCTTCAAAGACAGACGAAAGAGTCAGACTAATGGACGAAATCATCTCAGGAATTCAAGTAATGAAAATGTACGCATGGGAAATACCCTTCAGGAAGATCATAAGAATTGCTAGAAAGAATGAAATAAAAATCATTACAAAATCCGCGTATGTGAGAGCTGCATTTATGGCATTAAACTTGTTCACCACTAGATTGGCAATGTTCTGTACTTTGCTCACTGTAGTTTTGTTGAAAGGACCAATAACCACCTCAACTGTAAGTTTTGATGTATTCAATCTGTTTATGTAGGGAATATAGAATAAGAAGTAAATTTACGAACAATTCAATTGACACCACTCAATATTATTATCAGTACAAAGTAAGACCACTTACCATTTGTTGTTGCAATTATCACTGTACGAAATATCGGAGTTCAAGTCAGAACTACAGAAATGCGTTGTGTTCTATCAGCAGAATTGATTTTTTGCGACACATGTGAGAAAGATTCTGATGCTCTTTATGGAGGTTCTCGGTTCACAGCCTTATCGAAGTAATAAAAAATCAAAAACTTTTGTGAGTTTTTGGATAAGGCCAATATTTATACGATTCGATGTTAAAATGAATGATTTTTTCCACAAGTGTGGTTCTCAGCACGCAGTTTTTATAAAATATGTAAGAGATGTAAATTTTAAAGCGAAAAATTTAAAGATAACACACAATGAAATACAGTAAATGCATGAGTTTATCTGTTGTCAAAGGAAGTGTGCAATCAAATAGTTTTCAAAATCAGCTCTAGTTGAATCTATGAAATGTTTGACCCAACTTAATACGCACGGGTAAACAAACTATTTCTTACAGCGTAGACTTAATTAAATGTTTAAAAAATGACATTTTTTGAATTATTCTGGCTGTCTGTGTTAACTGTATATATTACCTGGCTGTGTTCATGGGACGAACTCATCTGTCTATCGCGATAGTAGTCGTCATGTTATGTGTTTGTTTCCTAACCTTTTTCCATTTTAACTCTGTTTCGCTTGAACCTTTGAACCTTGAACCTCTTTTGCATATCATTCATTTGTTGATTGCCATCAAGCTAACGTTTTACTTTTAAGTCAACACTGACAACAGCTTTTCTCATTCAACAAGTTCATTAATATTAGTATAATCATTATTATTATATTTACAACATGCAACTATTTTTATTAATTTACGTTATATTTTTTGTTTACCTGGCAACAGCTTTTGTATAGTTCATTCATATAATCCTAAATAACCAGATTCAAGTTTAATGTGTAGTTTTAAATTGTCAACAAATGCAATGAAATACATATATACATTAGAAGTTTTTGAACTAAATTGTTTGCTGTTATTTTCAGGTCTTCGTTGTAATGTCGTACTTCAACGTTCTCTCAATCGCTATGTTATTAATGTTCACCAGAGGAGTATCTGAAATAGCTGAAGGTTTGGTCGCTATTAGAAGAATCAAAGGTTTTCTTCTTAGCGAAGAATACGATCCTAACAAAACAAATCTGCTTATGCACGGTAACGTGAAAAGTGTCGACGACTTTAACGATATCGTAAGTTTAAAAAATTTGACTGTAAAATGGAATGTCAGCTTCAGCGACAATGCTCTTGTGAATATACATTTAAATATTCTTGCTGGACAGTTAGTTGGAATTATTGGACCTGTTGGTAGCGGGAAGAGTTCTTTATTGCAAACATTACTAGGTATGTATTCAATAATTTAGAAATTGGTGTATAGGAGATAGTCAATTCTAACAATCTTAGCTATTTTTTATTGTAATTGAATTGTCGTCTATCGGTTTCGAGGCTTACAACATATGCCTCATCCTCAGACCACAGAACAAAGGTCTTAGTTTTAATAAAAACAAAAAGCTAAAAACAACATAAACACACAACACAAACAAAAATTTGTATAAAACATAATGATACGTAGATAGGAGAGTAATGGTTTCACAAGCTATTTAAGAGAATGTAGTGAGCAATTTTGAATGTAACACGTGTCAAGACTTACAGATAACTTAAGTCAGAGACACATCATCTACAATAATTATACATAATACATATACAACACACAATACATAAACATTTAATACACAAACACATAATACATAAACACATAATACATAAAGACACTAAACAATCACAATTTGATATCATACTATGAGTACAACTACCACCCGAGAAGTTTCAAGTCAAAGCATGGCTATTTGCATACAAGATCGGGATCAGTAAGTCACCCGAGTTATAGGAGCCGGCCCTGTTCTAGTCATTCACCTAAGAACGATGATCCAGGATTTGTGTTCTAATGAACTTTGTAATAAGATTAGTTTGCATTTTTATATTTACTTAATTATCATTTTACCATTGCATTTTAAAACTAGATATTTTTCAGTCTGTTCGTAAACTTGAAAGAAGGAACATTATAACTTTATATAAAAATTGCCCGATCTTTTTCATATTTTTGTAATCAATTAATAAAGTATTTATTTTTTAAAAATAGTTTTGCCTACGGAAAAACTATACGTCCCGTCAATTTGGAAAACATAACCGCCAAAACCCCAGTTAACATGCCAATGCTTCCATGCGATCAAAATTCCTACAAATCAACCATATAAAATTATAATCTTCATAATAACCTATCCAATATTAACATTTAGACCACTTATAAGAAAACAGAAAACGTAAATGAAATGTAGATATTATGTAGATGGAATGTTTATATACATTGAAAACAGTGTTAAAACTTTAATTGGTCTGACGACGGCCCTGTCGTCTTTAGAACGGCGCATGCATCGCTTGGCGGCAGCTTGTCACTAAGGAAAGATTAGAAATTCCCGTTACGATATATTTTGAAGAAAAGTACCTACCTTTGGGAGTCTACCTAGCAACCCTCATTCGGCATTCATTCTGTTTCAATTTATCGAAGTAACAACATGTAATATATTATTATAATATTAATATATTTGTAATATTTTTTAGTTGCATTATTACAAACAATTAAGTCTTTTTTCAATATTATAATATTCACATAGAAGTATTAAATAGTTCCATGTACGGTCTTGTGTTCTTTACTAAAACCACGGGAAGTCCAAATAATATTTAGCAACAAGTAACTGGAAGAACTCAAGACTCCCGTTTTCCACTGAACAGTTACACCACAAATCAACCATATAAAATTATAACCTTCATAATAACCTATCCCATATTAACATTTAGACCACTTATAAGAAAACAGAAAACGTAAATGAAATGTAGATATTATGTAGATGGAATGTTTATATTTTGAATATGATTGAATGTTTATGTTTATATTTACATTGATAAAAGGGCATGCGATATATTCTCAGATTCACGACAGTAACCCAAAAACTAACATAACAAATGTACTGGCTGATTATTTAGTAGAATAAATGCCAGGAAGAAGAAGAAGAAGACGAAGAAGAAGAAGAAGAAGGATTGGTTATAACAAGTGATAAATTTAAAATATAAAATAATCCATTTTTGAACCGCATTTCATGAATGGAATTAGAAACGTCAAATATCGTCAATTACAATCAATTGTGGCTCACTCTCATTTAAACGCAATCCTCCTCCTTTCCTATCTTTTCTCCTTCGTAAGGATGTAATGGTATCATGTAATTTGTTTGACTATTTCTGTCCAATTATCTCTCCCCTGTGCGTGTTGTTTTGCAGTCATGTTCTTTATATGGTCCGACCATCGTACTGGAGATCTTCCTCTAGATCTTTTACCCGTCAACTATCATTAAACGTAGGGAAAATGTGCAAATACCGGTCATTGGGTAATGGCGGTCATCCCGATTGTGCGAAATCTATTCAATCTGGCAACCTCCTATAACTGCCAACGTGTCGCTACACTACTCTGTATTCAGATTGCTGACGAGCGTTGAGTTAGCGCAAACCATTGTCATAGAAATATTATTAACCTGTTTTCAGTGTTTTCGATCTTATTTTTATGCTGAGTAATATAAGGTCTTAATTCATTTTTATTCACTTGTAGATCTTAAAATTGGTTACAATTGATTATAATGACGTTAGCTGCCTATTCCTTTTTTAAAGATCAATATTTTAATACATGTTTACGAGTAAAAAATTCTAAGAAAAAAAATGCCAACAGGAGGCAATGCCGGTCAGTTGACCGGTACTACCCCCATGCTATAATTTATACCCTATACTATTAATCCTTAGGGATTAATCCATCCATTTTTCGACATTGCAAGAAAGAATAAAAAATAAAAATCTTCAAGGTGTCTCATTAGGTAGAAAATCAGTATTTTCTGCCGAACAAGAAGCTAAAATAGCCACACAAAAAAAATATTTAAGCTTAATTTTTTATGGCGTAACAGCAATAGAACTGAGAAAATTAGCATTTGGGTTTACAAGATAATTTTTCTTGTAATAAAACACCTTTTTCTTGTAATTGGCATTACAAGAAAAAGGTGTTTGATTCTAGTTCTTTGGAATCGGATATTGATATATCGTGATAACAGTGACGATGCATACGAAGATAGATGCCTGGTTTACAGCGAGTTTGGCAAAAACAATGAATTGTGGTATATATTTACCGTTTGCTCACGATGGGCTTATTCAGAGTGCAGTGGATGGGATTCTGCAGAGAGTTATACCTGCGATGACTGTCAACTATTTTTACATTAAAACACATATTTTTGTTATTTTTTGTTTGTTTTGTAATAAAAAATATTTTTTCACCTTTCTTACTGATTTACTTGAATTATGACCCATTAAGCCACATTCGTTAATCGTTTTATAACAAAAAAATGTTAAATATATATTGATTTTTATTTTAATAATAACAGAAACAAATTGACTGGCATTACCCACACTCATGACCGGTATTGTCCATGTATGGTGACAATACCGGTCAAAGATACTTTTTTATGTTTTGTCTCTGTCAAAGACAAAAATTTTATATTTTTGAAATTAAATGTATCTTGCAATAAGTTAAAACCCCAAATTACGGATTGACGGCTTAAATTTGATTCACAGAGTTTTACTTTTTTTTATATTAAATTTTCTTCTTAGGTGACCGCGATTTGCACACTTTACCCTAATATTTAACTTAATTTTCAACTTTTCACGTGGATGTTATACAATTTCAGAACTGAATAAATGTTGTGTAAGTGTAAGTCTAATTTTACAATATGTTTTAGGTGAGCTTGACATTACCCAAGGTGAAATGCGAGTTCAAGGTCAAATATCGTATGCTTCCCAGGAGCCGTGGGTATTTGCAGCCACTGTTCGTCAAAATATTCTTTTTGGCCAAGAGTATGATAAAGAGAGATACAATAACGTTATCAAAGCTTGCTCTTTAGAGAAAGATTTTGAACAGTTTCCGAACGGCGATTTAACTCTTGTAGGTAAGAAAATGGAGGAACAACTCACAGATATTCTTGAAAACTTTTTCTTTACGAAAAGGAAAACTGTTTTTTACAGTTTTATAATGCAAATAATTTTTCAATGCGAGTACATCTGTTTTTAGGCGATAGAGGATCATCTTTGAGTGGCGGCCAAAAGGCTAGAATAAATTTAGCAAGAGCTGTGTATAGAGAAGCCGATGTCTATCTCTTGGATGATCCGTTATCCGCTGTAGACATACATGTTTCCAAACATCTATACGAAAAGTGCATTAACGGATATTTGGCCAGCAGAACGAGAATTTTAGTTACCCACCAAGTACACTATTTGAAGGATGCTGACAACATTATTATTTTAAACAATGTAAGTATGTTTAAAACGAAAATTGAAAAAATTTATTTTTTAAATAAAATATTGAAAACAACTTTGTTATGATTTTTTACTAAATTATATCCCTAAATTATTCTGAAAAATTCGTTTAAGATGATAAAGAAATGAAATGATCACAGGAACTAAAATATTCACGGAAAGTGTGAATAATACATTAGCAAATGGTCGCAGAAATATAAGTAATCGAAAAGAGTTTTCAAAGAAGTGATCAAAGAACATATTCAAACTCAAGGTTACAAACAACAGATTACGGAACAGAAACGGATGACTATCTATGACATCTAGGATTCCAAATAAGAATCATTACTTAGACCCAGTACACAAAATACTACCTAGAATAACTGCAATTGGCTCGAATCCTGCAGGAGGATCAAGAACATTTTAGATGAATTTACCAATTCACCAGTAAAACATATCTTTCGGTCAGTTGTAATCAAAACCTTTTTAATAACAGATGCATAAGCACAAATGAGAACATATATGAATGATGGAATCAGTAGCTTAAATAAATAACCGAGAGCTGAAAGAAAAATTAAGATTAAATATGTACAATATAAAGAAAATTTAAAGGAAAGTAAATATTATACACGGCAATTACGATTATATTCGTATGAAAATCGTTGGACTGTTTCGATTGTTCGTTGGAAAATTGTCTGAAATATAGATTTAACGAAGATGCTAGGATAAATGCCAATGGTAGTTTTATAAACTGCTGCACTAAAGATTTCTGCGGATAAGCCGTCAAACCATTTTCTCAGGTGTTTCAGCCACGAGTTCTGCTTCTTCTTACTGATCTTTTGCTCTCTAGTTTACCTTCCAATATAATTCGGAGTAATTCATATGTTTCACCTCTCAATATATGACCAAAGTATTGTAATTTCCTCTCTTTGATCATGCTTAGTAATTCTTTTTGTTTAGTCATGCGCCGAAGAACCTCATCGTTAGTAATTTTTTGTACCCACGAAATTCTCAGCATCCGTCTGTACATATACATCTCAAATCCACCTGCCCTTTTTCTGTTTCAGCGTCCATTGTCCAACTTTCACAGCCATACAGCAAGACATAGATAACGTAACACCTGATCATTCGGATTCTGAGCTCCAGATTAAGGTCTGATCTTGTAAAAAGTGTTTTTATGATCATGAATATTTTCCTCGCTTGTTGGATTCTTGATTGGATTTTTTTGAGTTACACTGGCTGTTGATATTTGCCCCCAAATATTTTTATATTTTATCTTCTTCTTCGCGTGCCATATCAGAATTATCCGATGTTGGCGATCACCATTGCAAAGGCTTCTCGATCTTCTGCAATATAGAATAATTGTCCTGCATTTGTATCTGAGTCCATTCACGAATGTTTTTTAACCAAGAAACTTGTTTTCTTCCTACACCTCTACGGCACTCTATTTTGCCTTTAAGGATCATAGTTATATTTTATATCGACTTTACTATATATCCCAGGTAAGACATTTTTCGATGTTTAACAGTTCTCTATCTTTGTTGACGCTCCTTAGTACTTCTTCATTAGTTTTCCTTGCTGTCCAAAGTATCTTCAGCTTATATTTTATAGTCTTATATATTTATAATATGAATACATGCCTATCCGATAGCCGACGAACTAATTTCAATGGGGTTGTCTAGAGGTTTTACTATTTAAATCTTGAGGCAGAAAAACAAAAAGTGTACCTAACGTTGTAGTTTAAAGTCCAAAATTGATCTGCGACTTAAACTAGAATTTATGCCGGTATTTACTTGGTAAATGCTAAGAGCTTACGACTTCATATTTTTTTTTATTTCAATTTATCCCTACTAGAAGGAATTGCGACGCTCTATAACTGAAAATCTAGCCCTCTTTCATTTATCTTCGTTTATACCTTTCTTCCATTTGTCTTTTCCATATTGGAGCTGTACTTTGCCCAGCCCATTCGCTGCGGGTTCTGCGCCAACGCGTGGTTTTGTTATTTCTGTTGGGTTCTGGTCACTCTTCAGCGCATGATGTTTCCAATAATATCAGCTTCCTATTTAATTACATCCTAGATAAATATATTGTTATTTTTAATCTGCAGCGAATGAGTTTATATAATCTTTTGATCTCATTTGCGATCGACTTCTTGATTTTTTTGCGGCATAGAGTCTTCAGCTTTCGGCCGTTATCCATTTCTGTTCTATAGCGTATTCGGCAGAATCTGTTGCTTTAGTTTTCTCCAACCTTCATCCATTTCCATCCTGTATCATATTTAACAGCGGCTGTTGTTTTGGTTTTTTCTTCTTATCTCCTCATTTTACTTTCTGGTCTACAATCTTTCCATGACTCAATAAGTTTTTTGATACCTCAGCTCAAATGGGTAGAAATACTTAAATGATTATAATCATCTTTTTTAATTAACTCTATGACCATCTTATGTTCAATCAGAGACAAACAAATTGAAATAAGTATTTTTTATTAAATTTCTTAAATTGTGGACTTGCTTTTGTAAATGGGAAAACGTTATTTCGTTCTCAAACCAAAATACGTGTTTATATTTATCATACTCAAAAAATCATAATAGTACAAAATATGTACTTATATCGCAATTAATTGATTCGTTTCTTAATTTTAAGTAAACTTTTTAATTAATAATTAAGAGCGTTAGTAATAAGTGGTTACATAAATATTGAAAATAATCCAATTTTAAATAATATAAATTATATACTAGTATGTAAATTCTTGTAAGTTATTATAAAGTATTGTATTTTTTTAGGGACGTGTAGAGCAAGAAGGAACATTTAATAATTTGGCAAACAGCGACAATGTCTATGCAAAACTCTTGACTGCGGAGCCAGAAAATGAAGACAAAAAACAAGATAGATCAAAATATCCCAGACAACTATCACAACGTGTAAGTATATTACAGAATCAAATTTAGCGCATTTATTTTTTACACATTTTTAAATTCAACCAGTAATTCAATTCAAATTTCAAATTTTACACATCTGTAAATTCTGTAAACTCTTTTCTTTAGATGGCGTCTCCAATGGAGGATGTCAATGACGTGATGACTTCTGCAAATTCATCTCTATTTTGGGTTTTTCTTGTTAAGGTTTGGAGGTCTAATCCTTTCCTTGCCTTAATGGTGATCCATTATATACCAACTTGTCAAGGAAATAATTATCAGTGTAACCTGTTACCGCGCTTCTCTAGCAGGAGAGTCTATCGAGAAACTGTTTGATTCTTTTGGATTCCTTTGGATCTCTGGATCTCTTTGGATCCGTGGATCTTCTTTAGGTGGCGTCTCCAATGAAGAATGGCGATGAGGCGATGACTTCTGCAAATTCAGATCTATTTTGGGCTTTTATTGTTAAGGTTTGGAGGTCTAGTCCTATCCATGCGTTGGTTTAACACAGTCATGTCATTTGTTGTCTACCATTACTGCATTTTTCTTCCATTTTTTCTTCCATTATTGGTTGAAGGAAATCTCTCATGTCTGAATATATGTCCAAGATAAAATGTTTTCCGTTCTCAAAGTTTTCCAGGCGTCATAATAAATTAATTGTCAACGTCCGGGCTTTCACACCATGTAGTAAGATACTGTGTAGGTATATAACATTTTATCATGCGATATCGTCGAATTAAAATTAGATAGAATTTCCACCAGCTGGTGAAAAACTGTGTCATTTTTAGAAACACGTTTCTGGCCTGTCGTATTTTACAGTTTTCTTGTTTTAAGTCTAAGGTCTCATGCATCCAGTATATTAGACATTTAAACTTTTTATCTTGCACCTTGGTTTAACCAGTAGACTACCCGGTCTGCTGGTTAAACCAGGTGACCATCCGATCTGCAGGTGTTCCTGGTGGTCTGTTGGTGTTCGGTTTCTCTTAGTTTGCAATCTTTGCAAGTTTATTATTTGCCAATTCTAACAACTTGGATGTTGTGAGCTCAATTTAAATTTTTGCCGTTTGGTGCCAATATAGTTCTGAAATAATTCCCAAGTCTTGTTCTTCTAATCCGGTTGTTTGTCAGAATTCCCATCAACTTTTGATGGTTAACGCAGTCAAATGGTTTTTGATAATCAATAAAATATGCATATACTGTTATAATGTGTTGTTTCTGTATGAGCTATGAGTAAATTTGAATGATATATGTAAGTATGGGGTTTTTATCGCGGTTCTCAAAGAATTAGTTTGTAAGTACTTTTTTAAATTATCTTTATTATAACTATTATGAAACAAATATATCTATCTAATATAAGCAATATCAATTTAAAACAATCTATCTAAAATTTGAAATTCTTACAATTATTAAATTATGAACAAAATTTGGTACCTTTCTATCACTGAATGCCCAAAGTTTTTCCAAAATTAAAGTTATCATCACCACTCGATATCTTCTTACTGAGCCTTGGTTATCCAACAATTTTAATATGTTTCTTCTTAATTATCTCCACTCACCATATAAATATATAAATTTAAATCCTTGTAATTTCCATATAATGTACTTTCAAATATACTGGATCTTGTGGTTGTACTATTGAATGCTTACTTCAATGAATTAACTTCATACTGTCACTATATTACTGTAGTAATAATTAATCTCCAACTGTATTTGACTAAATTAATTCATTTAACTTAATCAATGCCTTCTTCTAGCTAATAATCTCTTCATAACCTCATAAATTTTTTTTAATTCTTCTTTGTAACTGACATAATAATAATAATGAATAATCTGACTTCTTCTAATAATCTTCTACCTTAATTCCATCATAACTAACTTAATAATGCGAATTATCAATAATCAATAATCTTCATGACTTCCTGTAACTTAATGCCTTCTTATTATTCCGATTATAATTATTCCGATATTAACTTATGCGGCACAAACATGGACAATCACAAAAAAGAATATGAATATACTTAGAGTCACTCAACACGCGATGGAAAGAGCAATGCTAGGTATATCACTTAAGGAAAGAAAACAAACACATGGATAAGACAGAAAACCAAAGTCACCGATGTGGTGCAAAAATCATTAAAGTTGAAATGGGAATACGCTGGACATGTAGCTAGAAGCGATCTAAACAAATGGCACAGATCAATTTTAACCTGGAGACCATACCAACACAAAAGACCCAGAGGCAGACCTCCTATGAGATGGACAGATGATCTGAAAAGGACTGCCGGGAAAAATTGGCTACAAGTAGCGTACAATAAAAAACAATGGAAAGGAAGACTTGAAGAGGCTTATGTTCAGATGTGGACGTGAATGGCTAGACGAAGAAGAAGAAGAAGAATGCCTTCTTCTAACTTTACTAACTTCACGAATCAACTGTAACTTACTTAATATTCATAATAATAATCCCCTTACTCCAAATTACATCGTATATATATCTTTTTCATGGTTCCAGAATAATCTAGCAATCAATAAGGTTCGAATCGTTCTATTTTTTCTATCTGAACATTCTGTAATAAATGGAATGGTTTTTGTCTATGTAATGGACTATGCAAATAGTCCTATTGACGTTTCTAGAACTTTCTCTGGTCTACATGTACAATTTAACTGATATTTAGGCTCTTTAGATCAGAATTACACTATTATATGTAACTTAAACATTTATATTAAATATATCATTACTATTTTACATCCGTAATTATATTTTAAATTAACATTCCAAATAAATAAACTCATTTGACTTCTGACAATTACAGTGTATATCTGGTTGCATATGCATATGGCTGACTTATATATATTTATAATTATTAAAAAAAAACTTTTAACATTTATTATATGCTATATTCTTAAAAATACCCTCATATAATTATTTTTTAATAATATTATCTAGTATATAACTTATAAATTACGTCTTTAATTACTAAATAAATTTATTAATTAACAGTGTATAACTGGTTGTATATACACATGGCTGACTTAAATATATTTCTATGCTAATTTATTGTATTTCTGTTCTCATTACAATACATCTACATTCATGTCTCTTTCGTCTGTTGTTTCAACACATTTAAGATAAAAAAGTCTCGTGTTCCCAATACGTTTCGAAATCCGAATTGAGTGTCACTCATCTGAAACTCACACTTCTTGTAAATTCAACTCTGGATGATTCTAAGAACAGTTTTAAAGACATGAGACATCAAGCTTAATATTCGATAGTCATGAGTCTGAGCCTGCCTGTAGCAAGAGAAGCGCATCCAGCTCTCCCCATCAGAAACGAGTTTTCAATTGACCCATTCCTAGATCAAGATTTGCACTCAAGTCGAAGGTCACAGGTGCGTTCGATCATTCGTCGACACTGTTCGTAGGCAATATATGCTCTTTTATTTCTTGATTTATATTTAGCTCTACTTACTAAGTGGGAATTCCATGTTAACTTCCAAGGTATTTTACCTCGTCAGAAAAGTTTAGATTGTAGTTTAGAATTCTCAGGGGTATTAAGCTCACAATTATTCTTTTATCGCTTTCAAAATGCTATCTAGTTAATGCTATCATGTCAATAGAGTTTCATTGCGTTGGAATAAACAATTTTTTAAACTGCAGACATTTTCTTTACGATTTGGGTGTTTTTCGATTTCAATACCCTCGCTATACATCCGTGGATCCGTGTCTTGTGTATCTGTAAATAAAATTTGATGGTTTTCTTTTGTGACGTTATTCTCTGAAATTCCTGATTTTTTACAATAATCAAGGAAGCAGTATTATTCCTCTCGCTTTAAGTTAAGCAAGTAGTTTGGTTACATTGAACCACAGCAATAGGAAATGTGGTAAATTCCTGAGGTGGGCAACGGTCCTCTTCGGTATTTGGAAGACCTTAGCCTTTCTCGCATTATTTTGGTTGGTTTGAAGGAACACTTGACTCATATTTCTTTAAGATTTTAGTTACTCTCTTTTGTTTAGGCTGCTGTATCGACCCTAGAGAAACTGGAGGAGAAATTTCGCAATTCTTTATTATTAGTACCTTATTTTCGTCATTATTAGGTTTAAAAATATTAACTTGTTCCTAAAAAATGTATTAACGTATTCTTTAAATTTTGTTTTTAGAGTCGACAAAGTTCGATGTCAAGTGTAGTAAGTGAATTAAGTACAGCGGACACACTTATGTCAAATGAAAATGACTTTGAAGAGGAGGCAGCTGAAAAAGAATTAGAGGTTCAAGTCAAAGACCTTCAAGAACAATCTTCAAAAGGAAAAGTGGGTGGTTCATTGTTGTTAAAATACATATTGGCAGGTTCTAATGTATTGGCTGTTTTGATATTAGTTATATTATTTTTAGGTAAGAAAGACTAACTTTTACTGTTAACATTTAACTATTTTTTTGACAATCCTTTTATGGTATTTTGATACCGGTAGGTTTATATAATTTTTGATTTTTGTGAACCTATAATGCTTGACAATTTAGCTATAATGAGAATTTAAATTATTTTGCAGGAACACAGCTAGCTGCGAGTGGGGTGGATTACTGGGTAAGCTATTGGGTAAATGTAGAGGAAATCAGGAACTCCACCGAATCTTTTAATTCTACTACATCCAAGTTCATTATCCCGTCCATTGAATTGACAACAAATAATTGTCTTTACATATATGCAGTTCTGTTAGGAAGTCTTTTTGTTCTTGCTATGAGCAGATCTTTCTTCTTTTATAAACTAGCTATGTTAAGTTCCCAAAAGCTGCATTCCACATTTTTCAATAATATAATTGGTGCTACAATGAGGTTTTTTGATACCAATCCCGGAGGAAGAATTATTAACAGATTTTCTAAGGATATAGGTGCTGTCGATGAATTGTTACCCAAAGCAATTTTGGATTCCTCACAGGTAAGACTTAAGTTTATTTTAGGAGTATTTTATTAATTATTAATGATAAATCTTCATTTAATATTAGTACAGTTTAAATCAATCGAAGAATTTGAGAATCTCCTATTCATTAGAGAAAGTCATTACCTATTATTCATATCACTTTTGCAATTCATCAACAATTTGGAGTATTGCGCCAATATTTCTCGATAAGGTTTTGCAGTGTCTCTATGGCTTCCATTAATCTTGTTGTTAGGCCTGATCATAGTACATGATCTGTACAAAAAAAATATGTATGATACTATATGCTAGCTTAGGAGTGGGATACATACCAAAAGACTGGAAACTCATAAGGTTGGCTTTTATGGAGGATTATGTATATTAAGGCTATACGTTTAGAGTATATAAACTTGGGTGAAAAATGATACATCAGGGACATTATCCAAATATTTAGTGGCTCATAACATGGACATCCAGATAGCACTGATGATGGAATATTAATTCCGAAACGTTCTGTGATGTAGCCCAAAAGGGGCTTTTATATTAATATACCTTTTATAAAGGAATTTTTTTTTAACATTTTAACTAATGATTTTATAACATTTTGTCTTCGATATTCTCATTCCTTTTTTCTTTCAGGTTCTTCTATCAATGGCTGGATCTCTCGTACTGATTGTTATAGTAAATCCTTTCTTTTTAATTCTCATTGGAGCATTGAGTGTAGTATTCGGTTTAATTCGGCATATCTACTTAAAATCTTCGAAGAATATTAAGAGGTTAGAAGGAATAAGTGAGTATAATGTGTTTATATATATTCTATTTTTGTTATATGCTCATACTACATTAAGTTGAATGTATTGTATATACTGTTTTGTATTTTAGTGAGAAGTCCGGTTTTTACACATTTGAGAGCTACCATTGAAGGTTTGACAACTATAAGAGCTTTTGGAGCGCAAAGTATTCTTACGGACGAGTTTGATCACCACCAAGATTATCATTCTGGTGCATGGTATATGTTTATAGTTTCCAGTGCAGCGTTTGGATTTTATCTGGATTTTTTCTGTACCGTATTTTTGGCAGTACTTACTTTTAGTTTATTGCTATTCGGAGAAAGTAAGATTTTCTTTGTTTTTTAACTTATTTTATATTCCTACAAATATTCAATGAATGCATACAACTACCGTAATTCACAATAGTACCTAAATACTGTGACACAATTCCCATAACTGATTTTTCCAATCCGAACAGCCGTAATTATTTGTTACATATACTCGAATTCTTAAAATCAATTATGTATATTCTAGGTTAATGCAAATTTGCTGAAATCATCTGATGAAGTCTGTTGTGTCTATTTAAAATTAAACTTTTTTAAAAACTGAAGTAAGTTCACGCACGACTTACATTATAATAGACCAGTGCATAGACCAGTGATTAATAATGAGACCGAGAAGATAAGAATTTAAGACCCATAAAACCTGTAAGAAAGCCTCGTCTGATGATCACAAACGGAGGAGCAGGAAACCACGTTAATGGGCAATTTAGTAATATAACCTGCAATCTACTTGGTTATAGAGGTCTGGATAAACAATACTTACCTGGTCTATTATTTTTTTTTTCTCTTCTGAGAAATCGCATTTAGCTAGCTTAGATCCTAGAGTCATCTCTTTGCGTCATTAATTAATTCTCAAATTTATTATATACCAGAAGGGATATGAAAATATCATTCTGCGGAAGTGGCTTTTTCAATAAGGATTTTTTTGGGATATATACAAGATCGCCGAATTATTGTATTTGAAAAGGTGTACTTTAAAAATCTTTGAATCTTCTTTTGGTAAAATGACTTTTGGTGATGAATTCAACTTTGATTCCAATTTTTGTTTTCTTTTTATTTATTTATGTTCAATATACATACGAGATAAGTGTCCCTAGTAACACACGACGTCCTATGGACGTCCAATATACGTCCAGTTTTGGTCCGGACGTCCCTGGACGTAAAATGGACGTACTATGGACGTACGAAGTGGGACGTACTTTGGGTGGACTAAATATGGACGTTCTCTGGACGTCCGTACCCGGACGTTCCATGGACGTCCATACTCGGACGTCCTCTGGACGTCCGTCCTCGGACGTTTTCTGGACATCTGACATTTACCAATTATGGGATCAAATAGCAAATATTTTAATAAAATAAAAAATTATTTGCGTTAATAAAATAATTAAAAGCGAAAAGGTTAAATCATGATTAATTAAAAATTGTATAGTTTAATATATCCAAAACATGTTTTTGTTAAAGGTAAAGTGTAAAAATATTTTATTTCTAGATAATTCGTTACAATTGTTTTATTATTCTAGTTATCACGATGATATATGCTTGCTAATTCTAATAAGTAAAAATATGATTTTTATCAACAAGATGAATCTTGAAATCATTTTTCAAAGATGAACAAGTGGTAGTTATACGTATATTCTGGCTGACAACAAAATAATGATGATAATGTCATTGTCTGTCATATCATACCTATTTAAACAAATGGCAATTATATTTATATTATTAATGCTTTAATAAATGAAATAAAAGAATTCTATTTAAGCAGTATACAGTGCATTGGTTTTTTGATGCTTGGCTTTGTGTTGTGGTTATTGTATATTGTTAAAGGTTTGGTACCACGTGTTAGGTTATACTTCAGAAATTGGTTTTATTTTAAAGGTAAGTGTAATTTTTACTTATTAATTATGTTTAAAAGAAAACGATTTGTTTCTAAGCGTCATTAACAGAGGAAGGTTACGAAAAACGTAGAGAATTTTGTTGAAAATATTAATAACCTCGATATTCCATCTCCTTCAAACTTTTATTCGGAATCCCTGACTGATCATTCAGTTCAAATAGTTCAGGTTACAATACTTCCAATTTAAACTTTTTTAAATTTAACATGTTAAGTACCTAAAATAATGCAAATTACCACGTGGACGACCATTCCCGTGATCCTTTACAAAGCTCTTCTTTCAATGAAACTGAAGAAATGTCTAAACATGGTTGTAAGGAGAATTCTGGAGAACCTTATCGAGATGTTTTTAATTTTTCTAATAAGTTATTCAACTGGACTTTGTCCTTTAATACTAGGTGATTTATTCTTCTTCTTATGTTGCCCTATCTAATTAGTGGATGTTAACAACAATTATGGCATAATCCTCTCGATCTTGTGTGGCTCTAAAAAGTGCATGTGGCATTGAGGTTTGTCCTATCCCTTATGTAGGTGATTTATTAAAAATTCATAAAGAAGTTCCTGACCTTTCTCATTTGAGTTCAAATGCTAGAACCCTTCTTGCTTCGCTTCACCCAGAGAACAAATACTCTGATCCATATGATTCAAATTTCAATGGTATTTTTATCTTCACAAAAAAACAATGTTATAGAAATTTGTGTACATTTTGAAGGAATCCCACTAAAAAAAGAGTTTTAGTAGTCAGTCATATCCTATCTTGTTTATATATCCTAAAATTGTAGATTTAATAGGCATTTACCATGGTTATGAGAAACCAAAATTTGCAAATGAATGTTTGATTGATTTTGTAACAGAGGCTGTTTTTTTATTAGATAGTTTAAGCTAAAATAATTAAGCATGGATGATCAAGTTTGTGGGGTAGTTAGATTACTGTTACATGTTGATTTATATTTTAGGATAATGAGCTTTCCAAAATTGGTGAGGAGACCATAAATGAATTTGTTAGGAGAAGCCATAAGAAGCTGATCTGGAATAAAATTCAAGGAAAAGATAGTTGGCTAGGGAAAAAGCAATATAAAGTTTTTGAGGACACACATATAGCTCTGATTTTAAAAGGTTTGTAACTTATAAACGTAAATCAATTTAAGGTGCATTTAAGAATTTACACTATCACTTAAGTGGCCACATACAGCTGATTAAGCATATTGTTAACTGTGTCTTATATGTAATTTAGATGGCAAATTTTACCAATTCATAAATGTTCAGGTCTGGCTATGAGATTGCTTTAAGAACTACAGCTAGCTTATGAGATAAAGGTTTGTTGTTGGCCATATATTTTATTTATACAGTTATTTTTATTTTTTACGTATAAAAGTGTAATTACTGCTCATTTGGTCATTAGAAATAAATACCAATGGTTGGGTTGGTATTCTTCTAATTCAGGTGAGATTCATTAAAACTACAGCACTTGAAATTTGTGTGTTTAATTTTACTTTGAATTATGATTTATTCACAAGAAGCAAAGTATAATGAACTAAATCTGAAATTAGTTTATTCAATTTATGAATGTACATTAATTTTGTTTTCAGATGTTGCTTGGAAAAACTCCAAAACCAGCGTTGCCATGGGGAAGGAAGTTGAAACTTGATAATGAAATATCTGAGGAAATATTTAAAGAGAGGGTAGATAAAATTTAACTTGCATGTTGCATTAGCAAATATGATTAATTTTGTAATATTTAAATTGTGTAATTCATGGACACAAAGGAACAGTCCAATTTTTGAGACTGTTTTATATATTAAAAATAAATACCTAAAAATTAATCTACTGTTGAAAGAAAACAGACAAAGTTCCATATTAGGTATTGATCTTTTTCATACTTATGATTTCAACTTTAAAACTCAACAATTGACTTGTCTGCTTTTAATTGCTGACCACACAATTGTAAGGGAAATCAGAATGGGAAGGGATAAGGGAAGTTGAATGGTTCTGTTTTTAAGAACCACAATTTCAACAATTTTGTCAATTTCTTTAGCAGTATTCACAATCCTTCTTTCTCTTGTGTAGACAAGTGTAGTCAAAGATCCCATATAAGTAACAGCCATATTCACTCTTTTAACTGTTAAAATTTGTGACGCATGCTTACAGTGTCTTAATACCAATAAAGGTCTTGGTCCAGACATAATATCTTAACTTATTTTTAGGGAATTGTGCATTCTTTTTATGTAGGCATCTATGGCTTATTTTTTATAAATCTCTGACTGAGGGTCACTTTTCATCACAATTTATTTATTGATTTTATCCTTAACTCATTGATTCCTAATTATCGTTCCATTATAATTCTTTCTGCTATTCCTAAAATTGTCGAGGCTTTACTGACTGATTTTTTGACAGTAAATTTGAAGAATCAGCTTCATACTGATCAGCGTGGTTTACTTACTGCCTAGTCGTTCAACTTCAACTAATTTATATTGATTATGTTATAATTGCATTAAAAACCATTTTTATGTTGATTAGATTTATACTGACTCATCTACAAGCATCAACTGTTCTTGTAAATTGTGTAGACCATATTCTTATTCTGATATGATCAATTTCTTGAATCTGGATTCTCTTATCAAAAGTGTTACCTTTTAATCTTTATTTTTCAACTTGTTTATAAAATAACCAATCTACTGAATTGCTTCAGCTAGTTTGTTTTCATATTCCTTCCCATTCACTGTGCCAGAATTTACATTTCCATGTTCCTTACCACAGAACTAATTATGTTTCACACATAGAGATGGTCTAAAACTTTCATATCAATAGCTTTAGGTACTATTTGAAGCACTTAAATGCTAAATGAAACTTATTATAAAATGTGTACTTATTTATTTTATTCATGTATATTTTATTTTATCTGTAATTTTGTCTATATTTCTATAATGTTGCATTTTTGTATAATTTTGACAGTGAATTTGTTCCATTTGTTAATAATAAATAAATATATGTAATAATAAATGTTAGTTCCTTTAAACATTTATGTTTTATTACACAAAATTATTTTATATTTCTGTAATGTTACATTTTTGCATAATTTTGGCAGTGAATTTGTCCCGTTTGTTAATAATAAATAAATATAAATAAATGTAATAATAAATGTAGGTTTCTTTAAACATTTAAGTTTTATTTACCAAAATACATTCTTAATATGCACAGGATGACACCACTTTTAGTACTTTATGCAATGGCGTTGACGTCTAATTTACATCCTGAGCGCTAAAATAGATGTCCGAAAATATCACAAAAGTCCGTCAAGTAAGTTCTCTGGACGTATTATGGACGTCCGATTAAGGTCCAATTAACGTCCCGGTACGTCCATTTTACGTCCGCTCGGGACGTAAAATGGACGTCCATAGGACGTTTGGCGCAGCGACATTCGGACCAATATAGGACGTAAAACGGACGTAAATAGGACCAAAGCGGACGTTCGAGGGACGTCCCTAAAGTCCGCGAGGGACGTACTATGGACGTCCACTGGACGTACATGTGCTATTAGGGGTGATAAGTACTTAACGTCACCGCTCGGTAGCGTCACTATCGGAAGAGAAATTGACTATCGTATAGTACATTTTCGTACAAAGCTAATATCAAAATTTGAGCCGAATAGGTCTCGTAGTTTTAGTCATAGGACGTAAGACTTGTCTCGTGGGCCATATCCTGAAGTGTTGAGCATGAAAAAGCTATCGACGCAATGGCTACCGCATTTACTCACTGCGGGCAAGTGTAACTGTCAAACCAAGTGTTTGGCTTTGTTTGAGCGCAATCCGAATATTCTGCGTCGGGATTGTAGATGAAACATGGATCAACTGGTACACACTACAGCCAAGGAACAGCCGGAACAGCGGACTCCACCCGACGAACATTTTCTATCGGTCACCGTTTTCTGGGATTCACAATTTGGCTAAGTTCCTAAGTTTACCAAATTGTTTTAAATGACAACAGTTAGGACTGCAATAAGTTACGATTGGATTTGTATGGGCATATCCTAATGCTATGAGTTCCTAGAGCTTACATTACAAGGAAACATAATTGGAAGAAGAAGCGTAGGACGTACAAGAATTTCTTGACTGTTGTTGACAGCAACCACCACGAGACGCTGAATGCAAGAAGAAGAAGAAACAGATCTAGATCTTAGCAGAAAGGCTAAGAAAATACAAAGAAATTATTATCACCGTAAAGAACAGAAAATTGGTTTACTTCGGCCACATCATGCGTAGTAATAAATACCGACTTCTACAGTTCATTCTAAAAGACAAGATGAAGGGTAGACGAGGCCCTGGACGTAGACATATATCCTGGCTGGCCAATCTTAGTAGTGGACTGATCTAACGTCAACTGATCTATTTAGAGCTGCTGTAAATAGAATAAGATGTGTCAATGTAGTCGCCAACATCTCTAGAAGATAGGCACATTTAGAAGAAGAACATAAGATTGAAGTCCAGTTCTATATTTCCGACAGAGATTACTAGATTTTCTCAATAACGACACTTACGTTTTACTTTTTTCTCTATCTTAAAAAACCCCCACTTTATAATTATTCGCACTGAGTTTGAATCGAAGTCGGCTGTGTTCGGTTTCCGCTGACGTAATATTCTAGGAAACCGCTCCTTACGCATCCTACTGAAGCCAATCAGTTTAAGAAAAACATTAATAAGTAGAAAAAACAATAATTGGTACTATCATATACACGTAACCAATTGAATATAATTAGTAATAAATATTTTTCTAATATACGTTTTAAGTAACATGTTTAATTTTCACTTCTTGATTTGTAGCCTTCAACTTAAAGGGTGGTGAAGTCGGTCTGGCCATTACCCAAGCCACAGCACTAGCAATCTACTTACAATGGGGCATGCGCCAATCTGCAGAGGTAATCAATCAACTTACAAGTGTGGAAAGAGTGCTAGAGTACGAAAGTTTAGAACAAGAACCACAACCAATCATACCCCAGAAACCAGCTAAGGAGTGGCCACAGAAGGGAGAAATTACTTTTGAAGATACTTGCTTAAGATACTTCGCTGGTGGACCATTGGTTTTGAAACATCTTAATCTAAGCATTCAACCTAAGGAAAAGGTGACTTGAATTTTTATTTTGTCTCTTTGTATTTATATATTATGTACATACATATATACATACTTTGTATGTAATTTAAAACTATGAACCTTTACTTAATCATGAATCTGATATTAAACATGTGCACTTTACTTTGAATATTGTAGTCGGTTTCTGTTTAACCCTATAAGTATATGATGAAACTACACTCTTACAACACTGATAATTTTCCATTTCGAGCCAACTTACACCAGTTGAAGTGTCTCATCTACTCTAGAGTTTCATGATTCTGTATCTACCTTTTATAACATTGAAAATGAGCTTCAGACCAAGTTTTCTATTAATACTTTTAAAATTATTTATTATGAACTTCAATAATAGAAGAACACAATCAGTACATACATTTCATATTGGTCATTAGTTTTTCAAAAATGGTTGGGCATTATTGAAATTTAGTATTCAGGTGAGAGTTTGTTAGCTCATTCAACACAGTCCAATTTTGTTACCAATTTTTCTATAAACAAAAGTTACAAATTATACCTGTATGTAATATATTATATTACCTTTATAACTGTTTTAACAGTAACACGAAAAATATCAATATTACTTTAAGCAAATAATTTTTTCTGATTTAGGTTGGAGTTGTTGGCCGAACCGGTGCAGGAAAATCCTCTTTAATTCAAGCACTCTTTAGGCTAGCTCCTATCGAAGGCACTATTAAAATTGATAACATGGACACTAAAGATATTATGCTCAACAATCTCCGTTCGAAAATCTCTATAATTCCCCAGGATCCAGTGCTATTTTCAGGAACTTTAAGATACAACTTGGACCCGTTCGAAGAATATTCAGACGAAGTTTTATATAAAGCTATAGAAGATGTAGAGTTAAGAGATCCTAATAATGTTATTAATCGATTGGAAAATAGAGTCATGGATAGAGGTTCAAATTACAGTGTTGGACAAAGACAGTTAATTTGCTTGGCGAGAGCAATTCTTAAAAATAATAGAGTTCTTATGCTGGATGAAGCTACGGCTAATGTGGATCCGCAGTAAGTATATATTTTCATCATTAATGACAAGTTTATCAAGACACTGCTTTTTATTTTGTAATTGGAGAACTTTATGATCGTGTTGAGTTAAAATAAACCACAGTACTCTGTTGCGGAAAAAACCAGACATAAGGCTGGCACGAAGTGGAGTCTATTTCTCGGTTGAATCCATCAAGTTTCTATCAAATATTTCTCTCTCTCGTTGTCGCTCTCGTGTTGTAGCTGAATATCAGATGGTTTGATGGGGCTTTAATATTTGGGGGTATGATTAAACGGAGGAAGGATGTTCATTAAATTTATCTTGCCAGATGAGTTTTCTAGCAACGTTTGAAATGCTTGTTCTGATAACTTACTATTTACCTGTGGTGTTTTTTTGCAGCTAATATCCAGCCTTTTGCTGATTTGCATCAGTCTTTTGCTTTTCCAGTGATTGATCCTAGCAACTACAGTTTGCTCTGGAGCATTCTTGAACTATTGACCAAAGAGCTTCTTCTGTTGTATATCAATCGTTAGAGCAACTTAAGGGTAATGATTGATGGATTCGACCGTTACTTGATGGAAATTCATTTTATGTAACAATAAAACACTGAAAACTTTGTTTTCAAACTTCCACAAAATTTATTTTAACTCTTATCACTACAGCTGTTTCGGCTGATTACCTTTTTCAAGTGATCTATTTTTGGCATGCGTTTACAATTTATAGTCTCTAATAAAATAGGTTGAGAAGGGGAGAACTGTTTGTCTCAAGTTGGTCATTCAGAATTATATCTGTGTTTTTTAATTTGTTGATTTCCATAGATTATAACAAAGATAGCTTAAGGCCTTTATTTTGAATGTGAAAATTTTTAAATTTGTCATTAAAAGAATGATTATGATCTAGAAGGTGAAGTGCGTATGTCGAATCTGTTTTTCTATTATTGAAAGCCCTTTTATGTTCTGCTAGTCGTTTATTAAAGTTTCTACCAGTTTGACAGATGTAAGTTTTTGGGCAGTCGCCACATTGAAGTTTGTATACACCACTATTTAAGTGTTTTTTATTTTGGCTCTTGTTATTTTTAATATATTTGCCTAGGTTGTTATTTGTTCGGAAAGCTGGTGTTATTCCTTTCTTTTTTATGTGTTTGGCTATTTTTGTTGTTATTTTGCCTGTATATGTAATCGAGCAGAAGGTACTGGGTTTTTTCTCTGGTGGCGAAAATACTAATTTCAGGGCTTTCTTGTGTAACTTTCACTTAAGGGTAATGCTTAGTAAAGCAATATGTCTGTGGCTCTTAGTTATGTTTTCTATTTGGCTTAACTTCAATTGCGATAATTTTTTCTAGTTCGAATTGCGTAGGTAAACTTTTCGAGCTAAGGATATCTATACACAATATAGCAAGTGATTGCGTGGTCCCTTAGACCACGATGTCTAAAAACTCCGAATAAATGTTTTCAAGGCAGAACATTTTCCATCTTTTTTGTACTTCTAGAATTGCTGCCTGCGATGTATCGATGAAAAAAGGCCTGGACAATTCCTATTGTTCTGTGGAGGACTTAAGAACTTTTAGTTCTTTTTGAAACATGCGTTGAATTGATTCAGAGCAATTACGATTCGGTTAGCGATTAGGTCAGCACGAGAGTTAGTTGTCTTGGGTTGTACGATAAGGGATCAGCACCTAAATTTTTAAGCGTGGCCCAAGTTTTTCTACTGGATTAATTAAACGTTCATTTTTTTTGTTGTAGCCCATTTAATTTTTTTGGTAACATTTAAGTTCTGCATTACGTTATACTAACAATTGCTCGTTCGAGGCGCCCCATCCTGGGATATACTCTCCTATCACTCCTCTCACAATTGACTTAAGTAGTCTAGTGAAGTTACTGGGCACTTGAGGAATGAATTTAATACTATTGTCTAGATCTGCTAAAATTTTGTTCAATCTGCTTTAAAAAAGTTTTATCTGGGAGTACTTGAAATGTGCCTTACTTGAATTTGCAAGCCTGCTTCCTATATTACGGGTAGATGTTGACCGTGGAAAAAATCTTTAAAAATGTGGTTGGATAGATTACCCTGATCATCTGAAGGAGCAAACCAGATGTCTGTCTAGCAGGTTTAAAGGTGTTCAAGGATTTACAGCCATATCACTGGCAATATACTGGAGCTAGTTGATATACATTAATCACGGTTACGCCATTATCTTCAATCGTGACAATAAATATGCTATTCTCTTCCCATGCAGATAGGAGTCTAATATTATCAAGTTGGGATTAGCAGATGCTTTCAAATTTAGTAATACTGAGTAAGATTCTGTATCATATATCTTTAAGAGGGTTATTCGTTTGTGTTTTTCGACTTGTTGTCGATGTTGTTGGTCTAGGATATTAGGGATTGAAGTCTGAATAACTTTTATTGTTAGTATTTTGGTATTGCCCCTTTTTCCAATATGATACGCCCATTTGATTTCGATTCCCAATGTCCCTGTAGTGGCATTCCATGAGTTTCTACGAAATCGGGACCAAACATTTTTAAATAATCCTATTGTAATAGGTAACTGTAGGTAACATTCTTTGAAAAAAGGGTTTTAAATTTGTCTCCGCAAAAACGTCTCATCACGTCTCATTAAGTACTAGATAAATATAGTTCCTTTATCATGGCAGATTATAAAATATAAATTAAAACGTCTTTATCAACTCTTGACACGTATAGTCTAAGTTTTTTAATAATGTACTTGTATACATTAAACGCGTTAGAGCTATCTATTATTAAATTTTCTTTTTATTACAGAACTGACGCTTTAATCCAGAAAACTATCCGAAAGAAGTTCTCAGATTGCACGGTGATAACTGTAGCCCACAGGTTAAACACTATCATGGACTCTGATAAAGTACTAGTTATGGATGCTGGACAAATATCTGAGTTTGATCATCCTCATTTACTGCTTCAAAAGAAAAACGGAGTATTTTACAATATGGTTGCCGAAACCGGTAGAGCAACTGCTGAACAGCTCAGGAAAATTGCTTCAGATAGTTATCAAAAACTAAATGCATTACCAGAGTAATTAAGACTGTTTTATTAAGTTAAAATAAAATCATTTAATGAAATTAATAATAAAAATTATTCAATTGTTGTTACCATTAAATATTTTTGTGTAATGTTCCTATATTTTTAGATTGATTATATTAACTTAAGCTAAATTTAAATAATAACTTATTAGTTGACTGCCAACCTTAAATGACGTAGTACAACTATTTTATATTATACCAATGTATTTAAAACAAAAATATTAAATAAAATTTTTTAATTATTTCATATGTCTCTACTATTATTAATGTTCTCATTGATAATATAAAAATAAAACAACCGCCATCAAATACAGCGAGTGGAATTTCAGACAGAAGCTATGGGTCTGTATAAAAATTTGTCTGTAATTTCTGGGACAGTGTATAATAGATAAGCTAGAAAATGTAAGAAATGCTAGAAATCCAGGAAAAATACTAGAAAATCTTTTCAAGTCATAAGAATGAAATAGAGTCCCCATTAATATCTGTTAATAAAAATGAATCGCCGAAATGTTTCCACGCGCACCACTTTAGAACGACTGCACCAAATTTTTTTGTTGTTGTATTTCTTATTATCAAGAGAAGGTTTGTATATAAGATAATTTTCACAAAATTTTACGGAAAGACCCTAAAAACAGTTTTTCTGTCATTTTAAATCGCAATATAAGTAATAGATGGCGCCATATTATGACTAACAAAGGAAGCTATGATTAACAAAATAAATCTCAGATAAATTGACCTAATGTCATAGCCTTAAGTATTTAGTATTGCAGCTCCAAATAATAATAATGAAGTTCTCCAACATATCAGAAGGGAAGATATGGCAATGAGGTGATTTGGAGATTCTTGAAAGGAAATGAAATTGAAATGAAATGAAATGAAATAAAATGAAATGAAATAAAATGAAATGAAATAAAATGAAATGAAATGAAATGAAATGAAATGAAATGAAATGAAATGAAATGAAATGAAATGAAATGAAATGAAATGAAATGAAATGAAATGAAATGAAATGAAATGAAATGAAATGAAATGAAATGAAATGAAATGAAATGAAATGAAATGAAATGAAATGAAATGAAATGAAATGAAATGAAATGAAATGAAATGAAAGGAAATGAAATGAAATAAAATGAAATGAAATGAAATGAAATGAAATGAACTCCTACATGAACAATTTATTTTCGATTATTAGATAAAGTTTAGTAATCTATTACATAATAGTTAAACCATATGATGAAATAATACATAACATAACATAATTATCAGACTGATACAATAATCTCAATAGTATACTTTTTACAGATAAGGTAACAAGTATTGGATATTAACTAATGTTTTTATATACTTTAAAAAAATAAAAAAGTGTTATCGTTTCGTAAATAGGTAAATATGTAATAAAATAAAATAAATTTGAAATGGCGCTTTTCATGAATTTAATACTCGTTCACCGTTTTCTCAAATTAAATATCTCTCGATTACTAATTAATGGCAAATAATCTATCGATTATTATTTGCCATTAACTGTCATAATAACAGTGCTTTATAATTAAATTCGTCGTGAAAATGGTTCTCACAACTGAGAAGAAAGTGTTTTTAGTAGAGTGGCATTTCTGCTCATACGGAATAAAGGTCCAAGTGTGAAACACGGGCTCTACCAGTCGTCTAAAAGCAGTTTTTATCAGAAACATAGGAACGTCGACTGTTCTAATCTCTTAGTGATTATCCTTACCGCATATAAATTGGACAAATATGAAACGTTGCAAATAAACGTGCAAAAGAAGGTTATTGTAGACAAGTGTTGAGTTTACCGTACAAAGATACCGATTTATTGAATTTGAACACCTAGATAATAGAGAAATCAATTAGAAGGAAAAGAGTTATCATTTGAAGTGCTGTGTCTGGACCTGTAATTATTGGCCCTTATTTTGCTCAAGATGAAAACGAGCATCCAGTTACTGTTAACCAAGAGTATTAAAGAGAAAACCTTATTACAACTTTTGTTAGAAATTTTTGACGCGCACGAAATCTGCAGATGCACAGACAATACTTTCAATAGGATGGCGCAACGAGCTATGCAGAGTTATACACTCCCTAGGCGAACTCCACAAACATTTTGAAAACAGAATAATTTCTCGACATACAGACGGCAAGTAACCTAGCTCACTTACCCGATCTGTCAACAGCTGATGAGATCCGCATTTGAGGGATGCGGAAGTTATTAGTATTTAAGTCAGTAGTTCTGCTCTCATATTGAAGAACTACGACAATATCTAAGGTAATAACCGGTTGTAAACAACTGCAACAACCACTCTTTATAAATATGTTGTATAATCTGAAAAATCGTTATGAAGCTTTACGAATCGTATACGGATAAAGGCAAAGAGAAGATAGAATAGTAAAGATTCCTTCGACCTTGCGCCATCAGGTTAGGTCACGTTTAGTTATCGAACAATCCCCTCATAATGATATTTTGTTCTAGTTATACGAGTTATACTGCCAGTAATAACATATGGTTCCGAAACAATAACTTTAACCAAACATTCTGCAAATAAATTGAACCCAAAGAAAAATGGAAAGAGCAATGTTGGGAATAACTAGAAGAGATATGGTACCAAATAGGATAGTGAGAGAGAGGACTAAAGTGACAGATGTCATAGAAAAAATTGCACAAGCCAAATGGAGATGGGCTGGACATATAGCACGTTTAAATGATAATAGGTGGACCAAAAGACTCATAGAATGGAGACCTAGAGAAGACAAAAGACACCGAGGCAGACCACCAAAAATATGGATGGACGACTTGAGAAAAACAGTCGGAAATTGGATACAGAAGGCGCAAGATAGAGAACAGTGGAAGAACATGGAGGAGACCTATATCCAACAGTGGATGCAAGAGGTTGAGGAATGATGATACGAGTTATCCGAGTTATACGAAAGATCTATGAACACATGGTTTCGATTACCACCCCGTAGACTAGAAGATTGGATTACCACCCCGTAGACCAGGATAATGAACAAAATTGTATTAGAAATCAGATCGACTTTATTCTAACCAATCTAAGATTTAGAAATTCTATTGTAAGCGTTAAGACTTTCTGGAGCAGATATTCCCTCAGACCATAACCTCCTTGTCTCAGAAATAAAATTGAGGGTAAAACAGATAATAAAATCCAAAAGTTCTAAGGTGAATACTCAGTTACTCAAGATAAATGAGATCCGCGCTGAACTTGTGTCAAACAAGAAATAAAGAAATTAACATCAGAAATAAAAAACACTGAGAATGTGCACATTATGTGGAGTAAAATTAAAGATTTTGTTATAAAAACACAGAAAGAAACTCTACAAAAGAAAACAGAAAGCCGAAAACCTTGGATGAGTCATGAAATACTGGAAATCATGAAACAAAGAAGAAAATATAGAAACAGAAACCCAAATAAGTACAAAGAAAAACATAATTAATAAGGAAGAAAATAAAAGAGGCTAAGGAAAAGTGGATGATGGAAACACGCATCGAAGTGGAAGAATTGCAGAAAAAGCATAATCATTATAATTTACATAAAAAAGTGAAAAAATTATCTGGTAAATCACGAACAAATACACCTAACCGATTAATTGACAAAAACAATACACCTATTAATAACCCAATTAAAATAAAACAAGTATGGACTAAATATATTGAAGATCTTTTCATGGACACAAGAACGGAATCAACACAAATTGATAACGAGGAAGCTCCAATAATATTAAAATCTGAAGTCCAACATGCTATAAACAACTCAAAATCTGGCAGAGCCCCTGGGCCAGATGAAGTTCATATTAAGCTAATTAAACTTATAGACGAAGACAATTTAAGTACAATAACTATACTTTAAAGATATACTTTTTGCTATAAAGTAGCAAAAGACCCATGCCTACAAGAATCCTGTTTAGAAATAGAGAAACTGGAGCAACAACACGACAGCTTTCATTTGCATAAAAAATTAAAAGAATTAACAGGTAAAAGCAGAAATTATGGGCAAAATATATTACAAGACTCTGGAGGTAGAATTTTAAGTGATATTAAAGAGCGCTGTACCAAATGGGAAAATTACATAATAGACTTATTTAACGATGACCAAAGAATCTACCAAGAAATAACATCTAACCGAGATACCGGCCCGCCGATTCTAATCTCAGAAGTTCAGAAGGCTATCGACCAAGCGAAACGAAGGAAGGCTTCTGGTCCTCCCTGATGAAATACCTGCAGAATTGTTAAAACTATTAGATAATGAGAGTGTTGCGATTATCACATCTTTCTTTAATAAGATATACAGCAGCGGCAAATTACCAGACAACTGGTTAGAATCGATATTTATAACTATTCCCAAAAAAAAGAATGCCAGACAGTGTTGCGACTATCGACTTATCAGTTTACTGAATCACACGCTCAAAATTTTTATGAAAATATTGCATTGTCGCATATATAAACTTTGTGAGGGGATAACTGGTGATGAGCAGTTTGGTTTCCGAAATGGTATGAATACTGGAGAAGCTCTTTTTTGCATGCGAATAGTCTTACAAAAGAGCATTGAGTTTAGGAAAAATATTGTATATAATGTTTTATATATTTCGAAAAAGCCTTTGATAGAGTACCACATACATTATTATTTCAATGCTTAGACTCAGTTGGTCTGGACACGTATGACATTAGATTGCTCAAAAATCTTTACTACAATCAAACCGCTTGTGTTAAGGTGGACCAAAAGGTTTCAGCTAAAGTTTCTATTAAGCGTGGTGTCAGACAGGGATGTGATATGTCACCGATGTTGTTTAATGCCTACACTGAACCAGTTTTGAAATAGCGTTAAATAATCGCCGCGAAGGTGTTAAGATCGGTGGTGAAATTATTAATAACATCAGATACGCCGATGACACAGCAATAATGGTAGAGAGTTTAGAAGATCTTCAAACCCTGTTGAATGCTGTAAACAACGAATGCACTGAAAAGGGCTTAACA